ATATCCTGCAATACTACCAATACTAGTATTTTTCAGAGTTGTTGTGACCACTTGAGGTTTGGCCATGATTGAGATTATGTTTTTGCTTCCCAGATGCACTGAGCCACTGTTTCTAACTGTATAGCACTTATGGTTGTAGAATGCTTTACTGTCCAAATACAAAATTGTCTTTAGTAACAAAATTTGTAATAATGTGTTACAAGAGGTTTCCTTTGTAGGCAATTCTGTAAAACAAAAGCTCCCTTTCTTTGCCATAGTGTTATAAACTGTTTACCCTAAAGACATAAAAAGACAAAAGTTTACATTCCCCCCCCCCACCACTGTAGTCTCAATTTAAGCATGGTCCAGAATAAGACTTGGCTGTGAATACAAATGGACAGCCTATTCCTGTGTGACTGGGTGAATTTATTGGGTTCAAATCTAAAACAAAACCATATGTATCAAGTTTAGCACAAGACCTTTAACGGTACTTGGATTTTTAATTACATGTGAGGAAAGAATAGGAAAAATACATATACATATTGTCTTTTAAATTCAAAGCACAGCTACACTTGTAAAGCAATCATTTAGCATAGATAGGTTCATATTGTGTTAAGGAGCAACAGAGAATCATATTTATGTTTGCTTAAGAAAGGTAAAACCTTTATAAAGAAATATTTCATTGTACGAAGGTTCTCAATTACAAGATTCCAAATGTTTGAGTTTGGAACACAAATTGAATTCTGACAACAGATTTAATGCAGAGGGTCAGATTAGAGCAACAAGGCAAAGTTCCATTCTCATTGCAGTCTCCATAACCCCAACTCAATTACATAAAGATGCCAGCTACACTTATACAAGTATTCCCAAATGTTTTCTGGAATAGTTTTATAGTTTATGCTTCAAAACATGTCCTCTTATCTTCTCCAAGGTTGAATGGAGAATGGCTTCTCCAGAATGTTTACCAGTGTAAACACATTCATGACAGCTTCCAGACAGTATAGAGAAAAGTCCTCAGTGGGCAGTGTAACCCAATATGCTACTGTACATCATCACCATCACTTTGTCAACTTCCCATAATTCATTTCGGCACTTGAGAAGAGGGAACTAAGAACAGTTCAATAATTAAGTCACATCATAAGAATAAATGAAGTTGAATTTGTACAGTATATATTCCACATTTCTATACAACTTTGTGATTATGTTTGATACATTTATTAAACTACACTGAATAATATCATGATACCTTGACAGCATTAGCAAATCTGTAAGATAACATCAGGATTTCTCAAATGCCTGCCACCTTTGTGTGGTTTCTGAGTCTCTGTTCCGGAAAGAAATACCTCCTGCTGTTTCATGCAAACCCTATTGTGGAACAGGGTGAACTGAAATCTGAATGAAGCAATACTGGTATGCCAGTGTGAACATACCTGATGTAGAAATACCCATGGAATCATAAGAACTCAAGTATTGAACATTGAAAAACAAAAAAATTGGACAAATACATCCAGTGTCTCGGCATGCATTTATTTAACATACAGTATCTGGTTAAAAAAGTAATTTTAGGACAGTATGTACAGTAAGACAATTGCATTATATTGATAATGGGACCAAATACAATACAGCAGTTGGAAATCTGCAAACTTCTAGGTAAAAAATATTTTTAACTTACGCCTCATTAAACATTTACAGTATCACTCTAATTACAGCAGGGAAAAAGTGACTAAAAAACTTAATATTATATAATAAAATGATCAGAGAATTATGTCATCTACCATATACAATAGTTCTAAAACTAAGTCAGAGTACTGTATAGTATCAGTTGGTGACAAATGTATAAAATGACATTAAAATGCCCTAAAAGCACACCAATAAAAAAGAGGAGAAAATTCCACTTTTGTGATTGAAAGGCTGCCACACAGGAGCAAAGACTACATTTACCAGAAAGAAAATAGGTCAAGTAATGTGGAGTGCCTAAATCTAGTTACACAAATTACTAGAACTCAATATCTTGAAATGTTTTCCATCAAACCTAAAACGCCATTAAATATTTGAGAGTAATGTTTTTTTAACTCAATGGGGCAATTTAATCTGGATGTCACAGTCCCCTAAAATAGCTGCTGTATGACCTTTATCTTAAAAGACAGCAAAAAGTGAAAATCGCCAAAGGACATACAGTACAGTAAAGAAGGGCTATAAACGACAGGTGATCATTCAGCCCATCCTGTAGTTCACAGATAACTGATCCACAGATCTCATCCACTCATTTCTTGAAAGAAGTCAAGGGATCAGCTTCAACAACAAGATGGGGAAGTTTATTCTAGACTCCCACAACCCTGTGTAGGAAATAGTGGCTCCCATTCCCAGTTTTAAAATAGATTACTCCCTTTGACAGTGTTCAGTGTGGATTCAGTTTAACATGATGCATGGTACTAAAGTGAAGGTACGCCCCATATAATCATAACAGCCAATTTAGCTGTGAGCAAGCACTAGTGATACACACTTGATAATTCAGAACTAAAGAGACGGTTCAATAATGGATTAGTGGCTCACTGTGGTTTAACCTCACAGGATACCTGCACTGAAGTTTAACCGTGGTGCCACAAGACAAATCTATCCCAAGCGATTTCACCCTCCTAGACCAGAAATACACCATTATCTGTACTGAGAGTTTAACAGGTCTTGATGTCCCAAGCCAGGCACGGCCATGACAAACTACGCTAGATGTTGGAGAACACAACGTTTCGGCCGTGGAGCCTTCTTCACTACTCTAGATGTTTTTGCCTTCTCAGGTAATAGGAAAATTACCCTTTTCTGCATGAAGAAAAGAAAAATCAGTGACACTTTTTGAAGAATTTTGGAGTTTCTGATTTTTCTATCGATTCACAGTTCTATCGATGCTGCAATTTGCTTGTTAACAGATGATAAAAAAAACCTCATAGACACCAGGAATGAAAATCTGTACTTGACATGTCATGATCTGCACAATTTAACTTAAATGGTGAAAATACTGCTGAACAGAGATTGTGATTGGGGTTCAAAGTGATAATATAGCTCATCCATGTATTTTCTAATCGCTTTACCCAATTCAAGATGGCAAGGAAACCAGAGCCTACCCTGGCAAGCAACTGGTGCAAGGCAGAGTACACCCTGCACAGGATGCCAGTCCATCGCAGGGCACACACACAGACACACATACTGTTTTCCCAGAAACCAAATAAGCTACCTGTATGTCTTTGGACTGAGAAGAAACTGGAGTACCCAGTGAATATGGGGAACAGCCTCAGTGAAATACTGTATAGCTCCTTAAAAAATACTTTTAAAAAAAGCTAAAACAAACAAGCTACTCTGATTCCGTACTTAATTTTGGACTGAAGTGAGAGCAATTCTGTTCCAAGCTAATGTCTAAGTGCAAAGTCTAATGTTTATTACACTTAAATGTAACATTTCTTTTTGTTTTCCTTTTTCAGAGCACCATGGGTACACTATGGTACACTCCCACTACTTTGGAGAAGCATTTGTTAAAAATTCTTTAACTCATCTGATACTCATATCTGCAGTTGCTACTTTGTTCGCCTGCAAAGAAAGAGCAGGTTAAACAGTAACAGATATTTTACAAATACTGTACACCACTAGACCACTTCCTTTGAATCTGTACATTATGCGAACAGGACTGGCCTTTCCAATTGTTAAGGCCAAAATGGTCAACAAGCATCTTTCAACAGTGGAGTGAACAGCCAGTGTAAACTAGCATGAACCCAGAGAGTGCAGCAACTCAGTGCTGAGTGGACTCGAAGGAGTGCCCTCCTACAGGTAAGATACTTACGGATACTTCTGCAAAAAAAAATCCTATACTAATAAAGTCAGTCGTCAACCACTACCTTTCAGTTTAATAGAGGATGGATCCAACAAGACATTTTAAGGCACTAGAAAAACTCAACGGCTGTTTAAATGTTAACGATCATCTCTTGGCATGTTATTGCTCCTTTAATGGCTGCTTACATGCCAGTCATGCTTGACATTGCAAATCTAGTCCACAGACATCCACATACCTACTGTACAAAGTGCACTTCACGTTTCATCTAAATAACACCATGTAAGAACCACTGTCTCCTTATTAGCATACCAGCTTTAAACCCTGCAAAATTAAGGCTAGGTGCATAACTGGCCTTGTTTGTACTTAAGTACGTACTCTATACAACCGAAAATTCTACGTAAAATATTAAACCTTCAGAGATAATCTTTTTTTTAAATCAAATTTATCAACACAAATAACATAAAGGAATTATATTATCGTTTCTAAAAATATAGAACTTTGAAATTAAAATACGCTCAGAATGAATTAGAAGCTGCTTGTTATATAGAGAGGAAACGGGAACTTTTCCTCACAAAAAAACGTAAGGGGGCGAAGTGTCCACCCATTGGTGTAAAGAACAAACTCGACAGCATTCCGGTTCAAGAGGACCCTGGATTTATTCGGTATAAAGTACCAGTACAAATACCTACTGTATAAAAAGATCGTGACTAATATTTGGCCTTAAGGTTAGTCACGTCTCATGCTGTTGTTGCTACCATAAAAAACAAAATGCATTCTTTCACGATTCTTTTCTAAACCACACTCAATGTAAAAAAAACCTCCTTTATAAAAAACAGCTATACAGTACGTGGCGTCCAGTGGCATTGACATTTTTTTCTACACTGAATAACACTAAATACGAAGTCCATGTTTATTTTTTAAACCATTATTACAAATTATCCATGAGCCATTTAATTAAGAGTGGGATCTGGGAGACGCCTGTATCCTATTTTGCAGATTCAGTCTTTCCACTGCGTCTCCATAGATCGTGAGCTAGCTGTAACCAGACAGCGTCCCCGCAGTGCCTTTCTCCATCAATGCACCACTTTTTAACACAGAGATGGTAATGAAGAAGACAGTTTGATACGTTTTAGTATATCATAGAAATTAATAAACACATTGTCTTGATTAATTTCGCTCTGCTAAGCAGTGCTCTGTTTCTTACCATTTTATTTGCAGCTGCGTCATAATCGAAGTCTGAACTTTTGAATGTGGTAGTGGTGGCTGTAGCGTTGGACGGCATCACCGAAACAATATTTAAAAATGATTAAAAAATAAATTGAAATTTAAATAAAAATAAAAGGAAAAAACGAACTGGGTGGAGCCTCCTTTCTCAGTTCTTCCTTTTCCCTGTGAATAAAGAAAATATATGTTGTCATTAAAGAATTAAACGTAAGACAGAAATGTTAGAAAAATGAACAATGTAGTTGTTGCACAACGGTAAATGCGGTAAATAAGGAACTGACGGCCTACTTTTCACGCTTGTTTCAGTCAAAACCTAAACACTAAGACGCAAAACATGCGAAGAATTCTATAAATGTACACCTTGAGTGAATTTTCAAATATAAAACACACCTAGCGTAATGCTGCTTTATAACATATTATAATGATAAGCCTATATGAAAAAGTTTTAACAGCTGTCAGTGTTAATCTATCCTCATTCATTGAGCGAGACGATGTCATTGGTTCGCCTTTAAAACAAGAGCTAGGGAGGAACATGTGTATTGTGTAGAATTAAGTGCAACACATGTGCATGTCAATAACGTCTGAATGATCGTTTTTCATTATATTTTTTTAATCTTTCAAACCATTCGCCATTACTCAGATGCCGTGAAACAAGCTCCCTCACGAAATGAGCTTCTACATTGTATGCTGTACAGCTACAGTATATTAAAGCGTGCCCTTCTAGCGTTCTCTTCTCATGAAAAGCCTTAACATGGCGGGTGTTGAATCCTTGCCAAAATCTATTTTCTCGTTTTACTTAACGACAAGGGAGATCTGACTGCTTTGTAGCAGTGTACAGATTTGAATAATTTCTTTACTTTTTATTAGATTATGTATTTTCATTATTTTATTATATCCCTATGTGCTAGAACATTCTATCGCTGCTAGAAGCTTTTCCTTTTCATGCGAAACAGGCGCTACCTTTTTATTCAGCCTGTTTTAGAAACCAGCCTTCTGAATTTATTCAGACATTTAAAACATGCAGACTCCGAAATGATGACGTTCTTGTTAACAGTAATGCATTTTTACTTTCCATGCAGGTTCTTTGATTGGGAAGTGACCACTTGGGAACACACATTTTTTGGTGTTCATTGTTGTGGGAGAAAGTGAACCAGATTAAGCTTTTTATTTTTAAATTCACAAGTTCCACCTAACGAAAATGATAGAAAGTTTTTTGGGGGTAGTTTTTCCATAATAAAAGTACAATAAATACGTTCAAGAATGGATCGTTTTCCGAATTTTTAGTACACGTATCTGGACTAATCTGTCTCTGCAGTCAGTGATCGTGAGGGGTAAAGGGCACAACCTCTGGACATCAGATTTATTACATATACCAGAGTATGGTAAATATATGTATATACTTTGTACATAACGTATGTTCTGTTAATAGAAGATGGCCTTGCCTGCTTAAATGCACTAAGAAAAAAAGTATTCATCATCTTTCAGGCAAGGTTCTTCAAAGTCCTAAATTTATAATAGCCGCCTACAATGAGAGATAACACCTGTTGCTATGGGGAAATTCTTCATTCACTCAGTTTTTTTAAAGACGTCCTTACCAAACGTCATTTTCTGTAGTTTGTTATATTGGCCCGTCTTAAACGTTACAAGAAACTATAACGACTAAAACTCCATACATATGATTATTTTTTAAAAAGCTACACCTGTATACAGTATAAGCTACGTGATTAACATCAATTCAAATCTTTGGTAATTTTTTCTATTTTAATGCATCACATAATTTACAGAAAAACTGTAAAACTAAACGAGCTTAAGATTCCGTTATTGCAACAACAATACCCCTTGAGTACACTCCAATGCAGTTTATCAATCAACAAAAACTCGTTATTACAAATAGGGAACAAGAATTGGAAGTTGTTTTGGCCATTTAAGTCTGGAAGAGTCTTTAAAAGTATTCATTTTGTTTGTGCATTTTGCACGTAACAGTTCTTCATGGGAAAAAAAAAGTTAATATATTTTTTGTACCATGACCCTAACCTGTTCAATGTAAAGTTCAGAGAGAGTGTTAAAATAACTGTTACAGAATCACTATCATTTTTCTCTGCTAGTAAAAAATAAATTGATCGATTCAACTGTTCTTAAAGCACTTATCTAATATTTTTAAACTACATTATAGCATTGCAGTCGAATATCTAGTGAATTCATGAAATGTTATGTTGTTCTTGTTTATGGGTTGAGTTAACGGAAGGGCGAATAAACAAGTGGCTTTAATCAGCTAGATCTCATTACAGGTTTGAAACCAAGTCTCGCCTGTCAACTTAACGCGTTACAATCAATCCGACTTAAAAACTTTCCTTTTAAAGTAAACAGGGTTGTCTTGATAAAAGTAAAGTTGATTGATTTTCATAAAAAAAACATTAAACACGCGATACCTCAAATGTTAGTATATAGAGCTCAAATCACCATTATCAACAAGTTTTAATGCAGAATATGGTAGGTATAGCAATAAATGTTTATTATAATAAGTTTAAGACTAGCATGTTCTGATCTCACCATTGTATTATACTAATTAATTATTCTCTAGGTTTTAATTATGTTTAAACAACCTTAAATAACATACATTTTCTGTACAGCCCTGCTATGGAAGCAGATAATTTGATTAGCAATTTAACATTAAAGTTTACGTTCTAAGAAAACTAATCTATACAATTATATCATTTGTAATCTGTTGTTTCCTTTGCATCTACAGTGCACAATGAAAAGTTTGCAAACATTCCAGTTTGCTATGGATAAACAAATAACAACCATAATAAAATAAATATAAGCGATGTTCGTGGGATTTCATTGCGCCATATTTACACAAATATTAAATGTTTAAATAACCAACTGCTGACATGTAACCAATGGCGTCAAAGTAAATCTGAACATTGTCGGTACAAACATACGTTATGCTTACAAACCCCGCTGGGCAAAGGTAAGACCCCTTTCAAACATGTGTATTGAAAGATTATTAAGTGATACGTTATAAATACTACAGTAGTAAAACACACTCATCTAAACATGGAACCGATCAAAATTACACCTTCTACCTATCAAAGTGACTTGAAATACATGACATTGTCAATCGCCACATTCTTTCCGTTCAGTTTCATGAAACTGTCTGCAAACAGTATACCACTCAAGACAACTCTTGACATTTACTTATGGAAAACAGAAAATCTGTGATATATTACAACGTTTCATTTTCTGTGAACACCATAACCAGTTTAGACATTAACGTAAGCACTAAACAATAATCATTTTGATAAAAGTAGGAGGAAACAGATATCGTCGTATTATCTGTCGGTATTCAGATTGGCTACATTGGCCCTAATAACCCTATTGTATTTCTCGTCAAAAACTTATGACTTATCTGACAAGTGTTGAACCCTTAACCATGTTATGGCGCCTATGTTGGGCAACATTTTAACGAAGGTTTTTAAAAAAGTATTTTTAACAAAAGTACTAAAACGTATAGTAGTTAAACTGATAAGAAGCCTATTAGATTCAATTCTTCTATGCGGGTTTCAAATTGGGTGAAATGTATACGTGTGTCGGGGATGATATCTGGGGCCAGGTAAACAAAAGCTTGCATGGAATGGCATACAGGCCTATACGCATTGATCGAATCTGTTCTCGTTTATGCACAGAAAACGTACTTCCAAAACCGATTTAAGACCAATATTTAAAGAAGGCACTATACGTTTGTTGTCGCGAAAATGTAAATATGGAAATCTGCATAATGCTTCAGAACACTGACAGATTCTTACAACACATATTGTATAGCCTTCCCAATGGTGGGTTCCAAAAAACAGGTCTATCTTGAGTTAAAAAGTGTCATGAGATAGTAAATTTCCGCAGAAATATTGTGACATTTATGCAAAACCTATGTAGGTCAATGTGTGGACAAACATAAATTAAGTTTATTTTCCCAACTTATAATGGATTAACTAAATATTGCATTAAATATCCAACATTAGTCTTTTTCAGCCCGTGACCACGTTTCCTTCTTCGTAGGTCTAAAGGGTACATATGTTCAAATACACTTCATCAGTGATAGTTTAAATAGGTACTGATGACCCTTAGGGCATGGCTGTACAAAAAAAAAAAGCTCTTTGCTTTTTAAAAACTGAAATACTGCCTTTTCTGATGAATACGGGAGTTGAAACGTTTCATTTTAAGAAGCTTACCATAAGTTTCAAACAAAATCAAGAAAATGACATTTTAACTCACGCAGGGGAAAATCTCCTATAACTTACCCACTTTGTTTTTTCGCGATTTTTTAAAACATATTGTTAATCTAAAATGTATTATTATGAGACCCACGCAAAAATAGTGCCAATTTTAATCACACATAATCAGTCACATCATTTGATTATTCTCTCACTTGTAAGGTGTCAAGTAAAGTGTCAATTAAAAGAAATGCACGCTGACCGGTACCGGCATTTGCAATTCTTGTGACCGTCTTAAGACAAGTTCAAATGTACAGTATGTCTGTCTTCTCAGGACACATCTGCAATTGTGAAAATATGCAAACCTTCCACTTCTCTAAACCATTAGCGTTACACCACCCGTTTAGACTCACTGTGACACACAGGTATTTCATTAAAACAAGGAAAAACGTGGCAAAGGTGACCGCAAGATTTATTCGGCAAAGTCCTTGTTCTGTTTCCCACAAAAGCTGTTCCCAAGTTCAAGTGCGGATCGCAATGCCTAAACCACACATCTGCAAAAGCACCAAAATGCTGCCAGTTTTCTCCACCATTAAATGCCTCCCTATTTGTGGTTTCACTAAGGAGCTCAGAAGGTTACCCCGTCTGAAGGGTTTTTGACTACGGGCCGAGGTGTTTTAATTAGTGGATCACAGTGTTAATTACCCGTTTTGCCAGTCCCAGGCCTGGACCTTTTCGTTTTCGCTAGCTCCCGGATCTTCCTTCTGCTTCTCTCCCTGTCCTCCTCCTCCCCAGCCGGCGAGGCCTCCTCCAGCTGCTCCGCTCTCTCTGCAGAGGGCCGGTAGATTGCTCTGCTTCTACAGGGTCCTAAAGACAGTAGGCTCTGCCAGAATGACATCATCACAAATGCTTTAATGGGCAAAATTCTTATTTAATTAGTTTCGCAACACCTAGCCGTGTTAACGAGTAAAAAGTAATGTAGAAATAATCTTTTTTCCAAGCAAAACTAAGGAAAAGCAACAGAGACGGGCACTATTCTTGTCTTCTGGCCACTTTAACCATCACTCAAACACTTAATTGAAATAATTATTTGTTTTAATTATTTAGAATTAAGGTAATCATTAGTCATTTAATGACAACAACATTAAAATCATGAAGAGCTGATCTCTAGGACCATTGGTAATGACTGTTTTAGTTAAACAACTTCAGAAATACGGACTTCAACAGCACTTCAGATCTCAATCTTTGGGACCTTTGCCGTAATGACAAATACATTGGAAGTTTATAATTAGAGCCAGAGATTTAGTATTTTATTATTATTTACATTTTGCATCCCTGAAAACAATAATTATCTAACTTGCTATGTTTTTACATTTTGTGCATTTCAATAACTTGGACAAATAAGAATAATTTGGAATGGTGAAGGGTTATTTATCATTTACAAAGTATCGCCATATTACTCCCTCATAATTTGTTTCCTAATTTGAAAGTAGTACTGGATTGGTCCCAAGTTCTAGAAATGTACCAGCTGGGATTTGGAAAGCATTGTGCATTGTGTTGCATCCTAGTTATTGTAATTTTTCTTAGCTGTTTCAATGAGTACAATGTACATATTAAACAAGTATAAAACTATAAAACAACACTGACTTCTGCAATGCTGCTTACATACATAAATATATATATATGTATTAGTGTTTATATTCTTTTTTCATTTTTATATTAAATCCTTGTTCCTGTTTTTGAATACAATACGATGTGCAGTGAGTATGAAAAATGTCTTACAGCAAATCATTGTTTTCTTTCCTGGTCAAAGATTAATGCATGAAGCAAGATATTAAAGCACTATAAACATATAAATACACAATAGTACACAAGGCTAATGTCTTTATGAAACAGGATCACTTTAAAACATGTTGCCTCAATATACTGTAGTACTTGAAATAACGCCAGTATAAGAGCAGGTATAATCCCTTTGCAATTGTGGAAACAATTTTAAAAGGAATGAGTTTAGACTGCCATAAGGGAAGGGTTAGTTTCAATAATAACAATAACATCATTATAGCTTTGTTGAAGTTTTGATACTGTATATACGGTACTGTATGTCGGCAAGTTCTCACCTAAATACACCTGTAGTTCATTAGTTTGATTGATAGACAGGTAGATACTGTAGATGGTATGATCACATAATACTGTATAGTGATATGTGAACTAGAGGATGTGACAGGTTGAAAACCTGTAATTGTACTTGGTGTAAGTACAGTATGCAGCAAAAAGCAAAACCCCTTTCCACCAGGAGCAAAAAGAAAAAATACAGGAATTCAAACTATGGCAAAGGCAGGTTTTGACCCCCGGTTTCATCTGCTGTTTGGCACACATCTCCAAGCGCCCACTGTACAGAAAGCATCAAACCAGCTACGCACCAAAAGACAGACCCCTCACGTTGGATGCACTGAACACTCTTGAGAGTGCGGGTGAATGATGGTTTCATCACTTAAATCTCATTTTACTTTATAAGACTTACCTGTATTATACAAAAACTGGAGCACCACGGTTGATCAATGGATCAAGATTATGACCTGTTTAGTGTACGTTAAGAAAAGAGTATTGGCAAGAGGGGGCAAATTTCTTTTTTTTTTTTCAATCTTATTTTTGCCCACAGCAATTACACCATAAAATAGTAAAAGTAATGTTAAAACAAAGCTAGCCAAGATACCGTATATAAGGCACCAGGTTAGTTACCGTCTGTTAAAGACACAATGTGTCTTTATTTTGTTGAAAGTCATTTAAGGTCATGACACAATGGTACTGTATGCATTTCAAACTTGAGAAATATGACAGAAATAGAAAGCCAGAATTGATGAGCCAATCCTTGGATAATTTGGGGTTTTGAGTTGTGTAAAGGGTGCTGAACTTTGAGTGCAATTCTCTCTTAATGAGCATAGATTGAAGAGGAATGTGCTTTTGACAAAAGAGGTTTGTAGACTGCCTAAATCTGACTCAACATATTCTCCCATAGCGTCATTAATGTACAGTAGAGATGGACCAATTAGTGGCAGAACATGTCTGTAGATGGTTTAGATATCTGAAGTTAGACTTCAACACTAGGATACAATCACACAGCAAGTGATGGTTGGGGCAGTCAAGACAATACAGCATAAACATCCTGCCTAAACAATCCAAACTTCAAACTTTCAAGTAGGAAACAAATGTGCGCAATGAAATTCTAGTTTTAGTGACAGCTGTTCAAAATCACAAATTGCAAGAGATTGTAAACAATGGTGCTGGTCTATAGGGGTATCTTGTGCAAGTAACACCACATACTGTATGTCATTGCTTTCTGCTAATTCCTATTCTCTTTTTAATCTGCAAAACAAACACGCAAAATGGCCCTGATCAATACAGAGAGACAGGCAGGGAGGAAGTCTGTAATGCACTTTACACTTGTGTTCAGTTCACAACATGCCTATGAAAACGTGGCAGTACGAAATTAATCGCTTTTGAAGTGTTACCCGAAGACAAAAGCATTGCTTTCCCATTTGAAATGCATTGGAAATAAATAACCACATAAAAGAAATTCAGATGTTATCTATGATTATATGTTCTCAATTTGCTGTAGAAAACAGCAGCAGCCACTTAATATACTGTACAAGATAGAAAATGTCACTATATCAGGTTTGGCATACAAAAATATCAGTGGCACAGTGCCACAGTGTCAGCATACTGAGCCTTAAGGCTCAGTCATTTTTAGTCCTAGTGAACATAGCACTCAGATAAAGTTATTTCCAATTAATATAAATGAAGGAAGTTACATTACCAGCTTTTGCTGTTGTAATGTCCCCTTATATCATGCACAGCAAAAATGCTGGGAGTTGTTTCATTTCTGTTCTTAAACAGGCAAGCCATCCATTTTGTCTATTCAAATGTTTAAACGTAAAAATTCCTACAAACAGAGAATCCAAGTCATAAATTACAACCCTACAGTTGTGCATCAAATAATGCACATGGCTAATTTACATTATGTGCTAGGCTTTTTCGTTATTTAAATTAGCCATGTGGTGAATCTGCCTTTATTGTTGGGATGTTTTCTCTGCACACTTCTCACATTACAAAATGTCTGGCAAGTGTAATAATGCCCAGGGGCATGGCAAACCACAGAAGTGTTGTGTCCTGCTTTCAAAGCAATAACATTTATTTTTTAATTCTTGTGTAATTGTTTGATGAAAGGTGAGCCTGTAGTGCCTTTTAATTAGAAGCAGCCGCAAACCCCTTTTAATAATCAAACAAAAAAGGCATCCATTCTATATACTGTAAGCCAGCAAAAAACAGCGAAACCTTTAGGTTTAGGTTCTGCCTTGTTAAGCACAGTTTTCAGAATGTGCCAGGTATTAGGATTAAAATGTGGATACAAAACATTTTTAATATGTGGGCATATGACTGTGTCTAAAAGTCACATCAAAATGCTGATAATTGTAGACCCATTATTAGAACTTGTAACATGATCCTGACAGAGAAATGCCCTCTTAATGAAAACATTAAGTGCGAAGACACAGGAAGGAATTGTGTGGTTCTGAGTCTGTCTGTGTGAGGTTGATATACACACACATACAGTAGAAACACATCATTTTGCCAGTTTTGGTGGCACATTACCAACACCATAGCAAATTAAAATAGTGAAGGAAGGTACTCTGGAAATGTTTCTGTCAGGAAAATTATATTCAGTTCCACCTGTCTACCACTTCTAATAGTCCTACAAAGTGACAGGTGGTCCCTAAAATCAACTGCCGACTAGTCAGCGGATTGACAACTAAACTACAGGTTCGTCACGTTCACTAGGACCACCTGAGAAGTTTCTACTACAGCTAGGAGAAGACAATAACAACAGTAAGATCCTTGTGAATCCTGGAAAGTGGTGCAGTGATTAATTCATTTTGGTGTCAGTAGCATAAAGGTATGGTTGTTCATAATGCCAACTTCAGGATTCAATTTGTTGTTGTCAAAGGTTATCTCCCTGTACAATGTTCTGATGACAACATGCTGAAACTTTTTATCCACTACAGCAACAGAAAATTCCTGAATTTTTCAAAATAATAAGACTTGTCTGTATACAACTGGGGTCCCTCAGTAACCGACTGTATCAATCTATAATCTGTGTCAATCATTGGAAAAAAAAACTTGTATTAACAGATCTTATTATTGGAGTTGGATCAACACCAAAGTTAACTGCCAGCAAACAATTTGATTAATTTGGCAGTTATTTATTTGATATTATTAATTACCTGCTTAGCAAAAGCCTTTATCCAGGATGACTTACAAAATGCACATTGAATACAAAAACAACATAATTTATTCAAAATAGTAATAAAAGACAAAATAAGTAAAAAATACTACCTATAACAATAAAATGAGGAATATAATAGTGCAAAGCCTATGCAATGCAGAGCAATGAAAAACAATATTAATTGAGCAGTCAACAACATGTGACATGTTAAGGAATCCATTATTACAATAAGAAAGGCATGTCATTGTCAATTTAATCATTGGTTCTGGATTGTATGCATTCCAGTGTTCAAACTAATGATAGACACACTGTGTCACCAGGTCACCAATCTTTAATGACTTTCAAATTTTCTTGTCAGAACTGTGTTTACAATGTCACAGTTCAAACTTTTGGAATCAATTTAACTTTAACTCATGTGATACTGACCTTGAACTTTTTTTGTAAAATATTTCAAGGTGATTGAACATTGAACATTATTGAAATGTTTGGCTAATTTCAGTTTAGAAATAGTGCAGTGTGGTCCATAACACTGCTAGGGTACGCCACTTTTGTTT